AAGGAGCAAAGAAATCAACCAACCAGCTGTGGGGGTCCACGTTTGTTGCAAATCCTCATGTACGATTTGACAAGGCCGCACATTGCACAGGGTGATTGGCCTTTAAAGGAGAATGGTTCGATACCTAGGGCTTCCCTTGAGGGTATGATCTTGGAGTGCTTCAAGTTAGCCAAGCAACATGTGCTTGCCTCCCTTGCCTTTCTTGAATCGACTGCTCTGGTGGCTGCACTGCCCTGCAAATCCTAACCAATGCAGTGCCCAAGTCGCCCGCCTGGGCGTCTGGCTGGAACGATCAAACGAAAAGATACGTTTCTGAAGTTTGAATGAGGACACAACATGTAAACCCCAAAGGCATGAACAAAACTGAAAAGTGTGAAGGCGCATCAAAAGGCAATGTAAATGGAAACAGAGTTAAGAAAGCAAACACGCTGCACAATTCGAATTGGGAGCGCCAACAGGCGCACAATCTGCCATTGGCCGGTCTTTGGACATTGCTCGCTTTCTGCAGCTTTGTGTTGGTATGTGTTGGTGTTGCCACGTGCTTTCATTGCGAGGCAAGAGAGCGCATGCAACAGGCGCCGCACAAAAATTTCGAAACAATATCAATTGGCCAGCAAGTGGCAAGTGTCACGCCTTTCCGGACTGCCTTCTTGCTTCCACCCACCAAAGCCCGGCTTGCGCGAGTGAATTCCGCAATGCACCATGAAAGAGGCGCTAACCTCAACGATGCCAGCAAACGCGGGCATCAGGCTTCATGCCAGCTGTGTCAAGGGCGGGGCGTGAATTCGAATGCCTGATGCGACGTGTTGAAGGAACTGCTTCTAGAGATCCAGGCTTTCAAGCACACCATGGCCGCTTCGGAGCTGCAAGTGAAACCATGGGTGCTTCTAAGGACAAATCCTGGGCGGGATGTTTATTTTCACAGGGTGATTCGCGCCCCACCCTTAGTTGAAGCCAAATTATTGCAACTTCTTGGAGCTGCACCCGTGCTCTTCAAATGGCTACCACCAGAGTGATGCCTCAGAAAGTGTTGGCCCGCAACCCAATCACGGAAAGAGAACAGATGTGAGTCAGCGTGCCTCTCGCAGTTGCAACTGCCAAACTCATCAAACCCATGAGATCCAGCTGCTAAGCGTTTAGCACACATGGCAGAAGTCTCGATAGGCCAACCCTCTAACCCCCGAAGTCGGAGTTTCCAGACCCGCCCAGAGAGAGGTTCCAATGAGCTCCCTGCAGCGCCGCGTAGGCTGTGAGAGAAACAAAAAAAAAGAAGGAAAAAAAACACGTGCGGGTTGTGTTGGCTTAAAGACAATCAGGGCAATCACCTGCAGTCAGTCAAACATGAAGCTTTTTGAAGCTTCTCTTCCACCAGGACATGTCAATGTGCACAAGCACGGACTGTTCGGCAAGGGTTGGATCTCTCCGGGAGCCAAGGAAATCAGCTTGCAGCGCTATGGCCTTCTGCTCACAGGCCGCGCTCTGCCGCTCTAACCTGGCAACGCTGCGTTGGAACTGTTGGGCCATGTTTCCTTTTAACGCTCCGCAAACTTCGTTTCGCAATCATTCTGGGTATTAGGCCCACTTTGAGCCTGGTGCAGGGCCTCAGGAAACTCCGGATCCCCCTTTGAACTGGAACTGGGAGAGTGCCCCATGGAATTTCACTTATGGAACGGCCGGTCAAGCAGCCGACTCTTACTCGTCGATGCAAGATTTCTGTCTTGACGAGAGTTGCTTTCCGAGGCTGGCTGGGAAAAGCTGAACAAGGACGTAAAAACATTGTGCAACAGCGCAACCGAATCGTGCCAAGCCTACCAACAAATTGCCCGCATCTAAGGGGCCAAAGCCACGCTATGCTGCCTGCCTCTGTGCTCTCCTCGCAGTGCGGCCTGCCAAAATGCCGACTGGCGTGCAAAGCGTTGAATCTCTTGGCGTGATCAGAACCCATCGAGCCCTCTCAGCGAGATGGATGAAACCTCTGATTGCAATCCGTGCCATGAAAAAAAAATACGCCGCGAACCGGTGCGACTTACTCAAGTTTGATTAGCAAAAAATGCCATCTCTGGCAAACTCCAAGCACTTCAAGCGGCTCATAGCAAACACGCTCTAGGCTGCTGTCTGCTGCTTGGTCTGCAAAAGCTAGCAACGCGGAACAATAGTCAAAATGAGTCACGTGAATTAGCCAAGTGACGACACTGGCCCTGCAACTACACTCAAGGCGTTGACTTGATATTTGCAGCATACAGCAAGCTAATCCATTGCATCCAAAGTCTGGCGTCCTCGTACACGCTAGCTTGCTTCAAGGTCAGTCTCTCAATGCAACACAGCAATCCATGGTTGCTGGGGGGGCAGTGCAAATCGACAACCAAAACCAACTCGTTGTGAGTTGCATCCAATTTGATGCACCAGTGACCGGGAAAGGGAAGCCAAATCCACAAGCGAGATGTAGGCAACGTCAGACAACTGAGTAGCCGCTAGCTGCTCCCGGCTCCATCAAAAGCTAGTCCGTTTGACACCCAAGCCTTTTTAACGTTTCATCCACAGGTTAAATGGTACACCACAGAAATCACGACTCTGGGCTCAAAAGATCGCAGCTCTCTGATGAGGTGTCAAATGAATAGAAGCCGGCGCTCTTCTCAAGTTCAAGGGTGACCAAAGCTCCTCCAAAATCATTTCGTCTCAAATGCCACGAAATCACAGATCAAAGCCCCTGTCAGCCCTTCCTAGAAAACGGCAGAGCTTCTAGTAGCGACAAGAGCAGCAGCAGCAGCAGCAGCAGCAGCAGCAGCAGCAGCAGCAGCAGCAGCAGCAGCAGCAGCAGCAGCAGCAGCAGCAGCGGTGCTAGCAGCAGCAGTTGTTGTAGAGGAAATAGTACCCATAGTCATGATAGCTGTGGTCTGCCAGGAACACGCGTGTTAGTTGTGGCGCAGGTGCGGATGGTAGTGATACTGATGGGAAGTTGGAATTCATCTGTCGAGTTATTGTCCTGTTCTACTGCTTGCCAAAGGCATTTGCATCGACAGCAATCGCACTCAGCCAAAGGTAAGACACATCATCGACCAGTATCCACATGCGAACAATCACAAACTTAGAACAAACCCTTCGAAGTCTGCAAGCTAGACTCAAAGGCACCACCGTTATGGATACATTTGGCAACTGTGTTGTTGGCAGCACTCATAAGTTGCTAAAAACTGCTAGCAGTTCGGGTGGAAGCCAGTTGCAACTGTCAGGCTGCACAAAATTAAGAGCGAGCACATTGAGGCGTGCGAATATAGAGCGAACATGCATCGACATAGAAGTGATCATCAGTGGCAGCGGTATATGAAAGTAACCCTGAGCTGTGGCTGATGTGTGCTGTGTGCTTGAATGCAAGGCTACCAATACGATGGGAGAGCCGCGCTAGCCTTTCAGACCTGTCCCACGTGTTTGTGTGCTTCTTTTCCCTTCACCAGCCTTCTGCTGGAGGGGGTCCTAGATTTTTAAGCGCACAGCTAAACGGGGCTGTGTGTGAAAAAACTAAGGACCTGCTCGCACTTCCGAACCCCACGGGCGAATCACATGTAAAAACAGCAACAAGCCAGCAAAGCGCAAAAACACAAGCAAATCACAAAATGAAATCCAGCAAAACAAAGAAAAACAAGCAAAACAAAAAATGGAATCCAGCAAAACACAAAAAAACACAGGCAAATCACAAAATGAAATCCAGCAAAACAAAGAAAAACAAGCAAAACAAAAAATGGAATCCAGCAAAACACCAAAAAACACAAGCAAATCACAAAATGAAATCCAGCAAAACACCAAAAAACAAGCAATCACAAAATGAAATCCAGCAAAACAAAAACAAAAAAAACGCAAATCACAAAATGAAATCCAGCAAAACACACACAAAACAACAAGCAAATCAGAAAGCAACCTGGATGAATCATTCAACTTCATCAGGACCCCATGCCTCCAGCGCGGCTCGGGGCAGCGCCCCCAGCGTCGCGGCCTTGTCCCCCAGCGTCGCGGCCTTGTCCCCAAGCGCGGCGCCTGAGTTCGAAGCAGCGAACTCCGTGTTTTCGAGTTCATAGCGTCCGTTTTGGCGAGAAGTCCCAAGCCCTAGAATCAAAATCAGGCTCGGCCCCGTCCAAGATTTGACCTTGACTCGACTTTGATTTCCTTAAGCGAGGGGCTGGGCACCAAGGTCCCTTGTGCGGTGTCTTTCTTATGACTTTGAAGAGTTGGCCCTTGACCTCTGTCCATCGAGCCTCACTGACATCTCACTTCCAGCTACCAGTTCCTCCACACCTGTCTGTATGTTTTGGGACGTGGTTCCTCCGTTTGTGCCAGAACCTTGAAAGCCCCACTTCGGCCTGTGCTCGCCAGGCTCAGGAACTGCTTGGGCATGCTCCCCAGGCCGAGCCGCCTCCGAAGCCAAGGACAAATCGCTATGAGTCCAGTGATGGGTGGGGCTGCCGACAACTGTCACCACCCTCTGAATTCCAACCATATCTACCCGCCCGCAGGCCGCAATGTGGGTTTGGGTCAAAATCAACCCACCAGGGGACCACAGATTTTAGTCTTTGTTTCCATTTATGGGGTTCCATTTTGGGTACCTATTTTTGACCCACACCCATGTCTACCGGGCTTCACATGCCAGGAGAGGCGAGCTCTTGGTGCGATGCGCAAGCGATTTTGGACATGCTCCTGATTTCCGATGAAAGGCCTGTACGGCACGCAGTGGAAGCCAAGGGGCCAAGATAAGGCTTGTCTTGCTCGAGTGAAGGGAAAGTTGCGAAAAGCATTTTGTGCTTCTCAATGGAAAACAGGGCCATGGCACTCCAGGGGGCCGAACACACAATCCCATGCAGAGAATGGATAATTACTGAACGTCGCTACAATTTCAAGTCAACCAAACACTAGCTGCTGCCTTCAGGGAGGAAAGAATGCACCGTTTGTTCAAAGTCATGGCTAGTGCTCTGGCAAGACGGCTTCAGGGACTCTCAATTCGCCTCGTGAACAACAAATGGTGGCAGTTTACTGCACTGGTTTGTCATAAGGGGTGTGCTAATTCCAGCTTTGCCACACCAATGCCCACATCACATCCTGATAAATGGCCACCAGTCAACCGGGCAATCCGTGAATCCAACGCCAGCCATGAGATCAGAGGTCTCAGGCCCCTCCTCAGTAGCTCGTTGCTGAAGTGGCAGCAGTTGCAGCGGAGGATATCGTAGTCCTCACCCTGCCACTCCCTCGCTAGCCTGAGAAGCCACACGCAAACGTGAAACGCGACGCCCGTGCCTTGGGCTGAGGTTGCCCCGAAACAGACTTCACTTTCCGAAAATGAAGACTGGCGGCTGCTGTGACAAAGGAGGTTGACCCTGTGATTGCTGACGCAAAAGGTCGCCCTTGGAAGAACCAGCCGGAAGTGCGAACAGCACTTATGAACAGCTACACTTGAAGGTCGCCGTCTTCCAATTTGAGTGGTCCGTCGGTCGAAGCGTGTGCAAGTGATGCTGTACTTCTGCATCATCGAGCCATACACTACTTGACATAACACCGCCAGTGAGTACTTACTGACACAACAGTAGTACCTGCAGGCTGATAGGTCTACAATACACATGCCTTGCGATGTTTGGCCCCAGAATCAGGTCCGACCTGACCTGTTTGCTGAAAATAGTACCCCCCCGCCTGATCCGAAACTGCAAATTCAAGAGCAGATCTTCATTAGCTTGCGACTACCTTGCGCCGCCGCAATGTTTTAAGGATATCCATGCTAGGCCGGTTCTCTGTAGAATCTCCTTGGCCCAGGCCGGCTTTGCTCACTACCTCCGCCCCGAGCCCTGGCCATCCAAACCGACTCCCACTCTTTGCAAGGAACCGGCCCATCAGCGCCAGAATCGTCTGTTGAGACAAAGACGTGTGGCCCATGGGCACCGAGTAGAGGTAGATGTGGGCATCACACTCCTTGGTAGCACTGGAGCCAATTGGTGGTCACATCAAATTGTTTGAGACCAACAAACCGCAGACAGCCCTCATGCTGCAAAGATCGACTCATAAGTCTTCTTCAGCATGCCCCAAACAGTGCAACTAACGTGCCAGCCGATTGCCCTGCAACAATAACAAGTCGCAGCAAATCGCTCTGAGAGGCTTAGGTATTTGCCATCATCCTTAGTAGGGCCCTGCCCATGCAGATCCTCGTCAAGAGTTCAAACAACATCACTCAGGCCATTGAAACCGTGGTTTTCACAGACAATCAAAACGCTCGCTGCAAAATGTCTAGCACACCATGGCCATATGTTCTGTGGTTCTTTCCAAGATTGTCATATGCCAACGTTGCCCCTTGCTTCCATTTCAACCAAACCACCCTAAGAAATATCAGCCACTTCTGGAAGGCATTTTCTGCGCCGTTGGCATTCTAAAGCTCTGAAGGCAAATTGGTTGGGCAGGGCAATGGTGCAGGGCACGAGATAGCGATTCGACAGGCAGCGACACATGCCAGACCAGAGCGAGACGTATCTTACAGTCACCCCAGCAATAGAAATAGCGTACCACAGCTGCAGAACAGGGCAGCCGAGGCTCCTTGGGGTTGCAACAGAAAACACCGCTGCCCTTCTCAGTATAGCCATAGCTCCACTCCTGCGCAAAACACGAGTTCTCAAAGCGTTCGTGCAATCCCAGAAGTCACCAAATCCCAGAACCATAGTTGCTTGGCACAAACTCATGCAACCTCCACACGGATGTATCTTAAAGCCAACAAAAGTGGCTGGCCAATCGAACTTTCCAAACGTATGAGGCACTCGGGTTACAATTGTCCAATGCCGAGTGAGGCACAACTCAGGCACCTGGTGATGGCAAATGCATGCCCCACCGACTTTGAACCACAAATCAAAGGATACACCAAGCCCTCGGCCAGCCAGGCACCAGCTAGCCCTCCCCTCCTGGCCGTAGACTTCCACAGCGGTGTGGAAAGCGCCGGTGCGCAGCTTGCCAAGCACCCGGTTCACCTTCACGCATATGCAGGCGGACTCAGCTTCAAGGGGGCGATTGTGGCAATTGCAAGCCAAAATCGTGAAACAATTGCATGGGTGTGTCCAGTGATGTCGAGTTCACTCTAGATGTAAGTAGATTCATGAGCAAGTGACTAGAGTGTCTTTCTTCTCTGTGTGTGTGTGTCTGTGTCTGTGTCTGTGTCTGCGACCGTGCCTGTGTGTGTGTGTGTGTGTCTGGCTCTTTATACGAATGATAAGACAGTTTACGCGTCAACTGTCGAAAGATTCACGACTAGGACACCATTACTTTCAACGCTGGGAAGCAGACGAACCCAACACCGGCTCAAGTGATGTCAAATGTGGATTCCCAACCAAGTGAATCTACTGAATGCAGCTCTTGCACGAGCGCACAAGCCCAAACACGGTTCCTCATTTGTCGCAAATTCGCGAGAAACGCCTGCTGTATGTACGAAGGTCAAAGTACGTGCCTCTATATATGGCTCAAAATCGGAACGCGCGTTCGGTCCCTAATACCTGTTTTGGTTTACATGCTCAAGACCTTCTACCATCCCTTGGACAGTTCGTTGCTTCCGGGCCGAGAACTTCCACCAAACAGTTTGCTCATCCTCCCCTCACTGAGAAACACCAGCCAGCCAGGCTCACACAAAGCGAAGAGCTATTGCCTGAGAGACTCGCGGGGGGTTACGATAGAAGCTTGCTTGGTTGCACCAAGCAAGCTTCACATGCTTTCGTTCGAGCACCAAGCCACCAGCTCGAAAGCATGCAGGATAAAAACAAAAAATATAATCGTTCAGAATGCAGGACTCATTGCGACACACTAAAAACATGAAGACAACAAAAGACTGAGAATTTGAAGATATTTGAAGAAAGAGGCAAAGGAACGGGCGGACTCCACGCAAGGTTTTATGCAGTCTAACATGCCCGCTAGAATGGGTCGTAGGCGGTGCAAGAGCAGCGTTGGACAGCGACACTACAGTGGCTAAGGCAAATGTCGCTGTTGAATTCATTTGGAAAAGAGGCTGGAGAACGTGGAGGAAAAGTATGCCAAGCTTTCTGCACAAGTTGCAAGGCGGCAGAATTCGTTGCACCACTTCGCAAAGCAGGCATGTTGGCACGCTGGCAGGCACTTTTGGAACAGGCGGAGGAGATCTTGCTGGTAAGGGGCAAGGGTGTGTGTGTGTGTGTGTGGAAGCGGAACGATGGAATCGCACAGATTTGGCGGAGTCAATGCGTGCGGGCGCGCTGAGCTCAACTAAGGGGTCTATGTCTGGTCGCCAAAGCAAACACATTGCAAAGTAGGACCCTGGTAAACGCTCACATCGAAAACAGGCACTCCGCTGCTCATCTGTGTCTTTGCCATGGCTGCTTTTTGGGATAGAGGACATTCCTGAACCCTGCCTTTGGTGGGGAACGCACAAACACACAAGCACGCAAACGAGCCACACCAATGAGGGTAGGCAGTTTGGACGTGTCAGCACTTTCAGCCAACTTGAAAGTGGTTGACAACGGGAGGGGATTTGTTTGCTTTAAGTTTGTGCTCAAGCAATGTGTGTGTGCCAGGATTGCGGATAAATTGCTTGAGGGCCCCCTTTGGGTTGGCTTTGAAAGGAAAATCAAAAGTAAACCCACCACTCGAGAGTTGGTTGGCATGCAGCCTCTTGCCTGGAGGCCACCATGCCCCGGCCTTGCGGACGGTCTCGCTGCCAGAGACGCTGTACACGTGGAGTGTCACGGGCTCGACTAATGCTCCTGAGCCACGGAAAGCATGCATGTTGCGGAATGAAAAGGCCATCCTGATGGTGTGATTTAGGAATTTCTTGGGATCACACAAATTTCAAAGTCGCCCTAAAACCCTGCCGTGACAAGGGCACAGCCGTGGTTTGACTGAGGAAACGTATCCGAACGTTCCGTGCAAACCCGAGACCACAAAACGGACGTCACAACACTCTCGTGCTAAGGCGAAAGAATCATAGCTTATTTATGCCTTCCAAGTTGGCACTCTCTATGGCTGCCTGCAGTTGCCGAGCAGGACATCAATGTGCTTGAGAACTCAGTCTTGAGGGTCCATCCCGGAGGCGTGCTGTTCAAATTCTATCTGGAAGCCATTTTGTTGCCCATTGCACGCCCGTCGCGAACCGCCCATCAAGAAGTCATGCCTAGAAAACTTCGGACTGCTGCTGCAGCTCTCTTCATAGAAGTTTCTTGAAACATGCGTAATTTGTCCCTTTTAAGAGCAGGTCTGTCAAATGTGAAAGATTACTCAGCTTCCTGACATGTTCAGGGTATGTCCCTCTCTCGTCATTGCTCCAATAAGATCTTCAAGGAAGAGCGGCCATAGTGAAACAAATCAGAGGTTCTCTAGAAAACCATCCCCTTCCAAAAGGTCCTCAGACACTAGCCAGCCGTCGGCAATGCTCCTTCCACGTGGTCCTTGGAACCAACTCCCCATTGCCTCTGTAAACCAACACGCTCGCGCGGAAACGGATTCGGCCACCTGGCCTCGGGTCCCCAATGCTTCTTGGAAGACAAGAAACACTCTCCCCCCAACTTCCGCAAAGCAGCGACCAAAATCCGCACTCAAGACTCGAGCCCCGTGTTCGGACCCGGGACCCCCCGCCTCGGGGTGAGAGCGACGGCTCGTTGCAGCGGGAGGGCAGCAGCAAGGCGTAGCCGCGGGAGTTCATCTGCCGGACTTCTGCGGCGACTGCTTCGTGAAAAGCAGCGAGAGGAAAACCGCCCGGTCACCCGGCCACCCCCGAAAGTTTGACACGCACCCAAGAGGAAACATACCACCAAAGGCATGATTGGAGGGATGGGAGCTCGCATCACCCAATACCAGGATAACATCAATCGAGAATTGGTTGATAAATCGGGATTGGGCCAAGAGCTGCCTCGCAGTGCGAGTGCGGTCAGGATCAGCACGGAGCCAGTGGCCGGCCATCCTTCTTTAATCTCTTTGGCATGGATGTGGCCCAAATAGCTGACCGGTACATCTGCGAAAACATCAATAAAACTCGGCTAGGATGGCTCCAAACATTCTGGGGAGTGTCCTCTCCGGCTGGCTTGTTTGGATCACTGCTTGCGTCCATGGGATGCCAGTGCATTGACTGGAAATCATCTCTAGAACCGTTTTCGCACACTAAAAGATGAGCATTGCTCGTTGCGCTCATCCAAATGATTGGGTTGCTTACTTCAGCCGTTCAATAAGCAACGAGTCACAACGCAAACAAACCCGTCACCCCCCATCTGTAAGTTGCTGAGGGTTTGGCGGGGCGGACCCAGAGAGGGATCATCCTCGTGCTCCATTCAAGCGGCCATACTTGTGACAGGGGCTCCATGTCCCTTCCAGACTCAAATGGCCACGTTCCATGACAAAACAACCATATAAACTTGTTCAATGAAGACATGCTGAACATACTGTGACACACAGCCTCCCTTGCAAGACCCCTAGACAAAACTAAACTATTGTCCGTGGCCCACCGACAAACAAACACCTGTTGCAGTGCCTGAGCGCGCGCCGCTCCGGCCACAGCCCCCGCTTTGTCATGTCGCAGCGAGTCACGGCGAGGTGATTGAAAGGCATGTTCATTTGATGTGGTCAGCGGTCATATCTGCTCTTTGCGAACGCCGGACTTGGCATCCTTCAATTGAAAGAACTGGGGTAAAGCCCTGAATTTCGAGGGTTAATCCCCACTACAGGTAGCGAACAAAACTACAGCTACAGCATGAAGTCCCTAAGTGCAAAAGGACCAGGTTGCAGGTCCTATCGGCCCTCCGCTCGCGCTTTTCTTCGTCGCTGGGCGCTTCTGGGCCTGGCATCAGAGCGCCAGGTTTCAAATTGCTGTTTTTCCAGAGGGTACCCTTTGAGGCGGCTTTGAACGCAATTTGGAGGGAAAGCGCTCATTCTGCGGGTCCCCTTGAAACAGAACAAACCCCCTGTTGCCTCTGTTCGAACCGGCAAGGGCGGGGTGGCATCACAGCTAGATGAAGCGATCTCAGTGCTGAAATTTCAGGGATTAACACATTACATACATGCGAGGAAAATATTGCGCACGCAGGGCCTGTTGTCTTTTGCAGGCTGCTTACTGAGCAATCAAGAACACAAAAACACACAGACACAGACACACAGGCACACACACACACACACACACCACACACACACACAATGTCACAAACACACAGACACACAGACACACAGACACACAGACACACAGACACACAGACACACAGACACACAGACACACAGACACACAGACGCACAGACGCACAGACACACAGACACACAGACACACAGATCACACAGACACACAGACACACAGACACACAGACACACAGACACACAGACACACAGACACACAGACGCACAAACACACAGACACACAGACACACAGACACACAGACACACAGACACACACACACACACACACACACACTCGCTTGTGTGTGTGTGTGCGTTTGTGTGCGCGCCTCTTGCTTAAGTTGCAGGCCGCGTTCAGCATGCTTTCTGCTCTGCTCTGATTTTCCATATTCTGGAGCATAGTTCGGGAGTTGCGAGCCGAATGTCGACATTCCCAAGTCCATGTTTGGGCCTTGTTTCGCCTACATCCCGGGGTCGCCACTGCCGGCATCTTGTTCGAGAGGCAATCACAAGGTCGCGTTTTGGTCCATTGCACCGCTTCTCCTTTGAATCATATGGTGTTTCCTGCAGGCATGCAACAGTTTTTGTTTCCTGCTCGTTGCGACTTTTCATTTATCGAACCACTGCGAGTTCCCTGCAATTTTATTTCTTCATGCTCTGGGCTGCTCTGTTTCTCACTTGCCCTTCTTGGACAGACTAGGGCCAATGGGGTGCATGCTACCAGTACGCACAGGGTCCCGTGAAAGTCACCCCACGCCGTCCCACTCATGCTTTCCCGCTTGAAATCGCAAGATCCAAGAAGTCGTCCCAACGGCGTCTCTTCAGGGCTTACCTTCATGGAATCGCAAGATCATGGCAGCCCAAATGAGGCGTTGTTCAGCACTCAGAAGCGCATCCCCACGGAATCCCAACGATCATAGCTCAGTTTTGCGATATGCGAGGTGGTGGCATAAACGCAAAACTGCATGAAATCGCAACGTACGCCTTGCTCGTTGCTGAGAGCACATCACGTGAGAACGGCGAGAAACCCAAATCCTCGTGTGATCGAAACAAAAAGGGACAACCTCCAACACAGCTCCCCCAACTGGTATGGCAATAAAATCGAAAACAACGGGACGACTGCTTAATAATCAAAATAAACGGGTGCCTATCTGTTTGGTTCCAAATGACTGTTCTGAAGCTCAAAGCCAAGCGGGCCTTCATACTGACCACAAACACTGCGCTCTTGGATCCTTGGCGCCCCCGCCTGCTTTGGGCTTCGCTTTGGAGCCACTTTGGGCGACGCCACTTTGGGCGAGGCCACCTCTTGGCCATTCGATCTCCTTGGGCGGGTTTTGCGTGGAAAGGAACCAATGCGTGACCTGAGGTCAGGTATTCGGCATGTCTGCAAACGCCGACAAAATCGCGTTCTGCCTCTGTCAATAGGAGTGTCTACCCGACCTTTGAGTCGGCCATGCAAACATGATTTGCAAGTTTCGCACATAAAGCTCAGCTTCACCCCTAAGCAATGCGCAATGACATGCTCTGAATTAACCGCCTTTCCAAAGAAATGCGCCCCATGTTTTTTAGGGTAGGCTCCAAAGTTTGTTTCTTCAGGTTCAGTCCCCTGCGCTACGGGGTCTAGGTGCAGTGTAAGGGTGTGGGACATCTGCGTGGCTGGCTGCGACATCCGAAACAGGGTGCCAAAAGGGATGGCGCAACCAGCCTGCAAGAGGAAATCTGGGCTTTGCACGAGTTGTAAAAGCTACCATGGGGCATTCAACTAAGTCAGCAAGCAGCATGAGCAAACAAGCAAAGGCCTCGGTGCAATAGTGACAAGCGCATCACTCCGTTCAAGGTGCTCGCGTTTCCTCTTGGCCTTCTGCTGCTTGACCTCCTCCCGGAAGTCATCCATGTCCTGAACAGAGGCTCAAGTTAAACGTCACACATGCCCCAAGCACTTCGCGAAGTGCCAAGAAACCGGGGCCAAACTCTGAGGGTGTGAGCCTTGAAGGGCGCCGATCCGTTTCGCCGCGAAGTTTCTATCGCACTCGCCTTGAGCATCTCCGGGGGCAAGCGCCGCCGCAGCTCCCCAAACTCCGCACCGAAGAGCAAGGAATGCGCCCAGCCTGCGAAGGCGCCTTAGCCGTCGGTGGGCAGAGGAGACCGAGACCGAGACGAGACCGAGACGCGACCCTGGCACCCAGAAGGGCTGGGAGCGGACGCGTGCTCCAAGCACTCGGCGACGCGATTAAACTATGATAGAATGAGGGCGCATCTCGTTTGCTCCGGTGACTGTCACCCGTGTGGTACCCAAGGATCACGCACTTCCAAGCAAATAGATTGCAGTTTGCGCGTCAACTGTTGCATGAAGATCCCTCCTCGCCCCTCTGGGTCCTGCAAAGGTACGAGTCGAGACTGAACCACTTGGAACAAGCGCAGCGTTGTGTTGCCAACACCTTCCAAAGTAAAAGTTGGTCAAAGCATTGGCGCTGTTGGACCCAAAGCCCCATTTCAGCATGCGGAAGCTGGGCAAATCACCAAGTCATCAAGCTAAATTGCAAGTCCTGACCGCCAAAACAAACAAATTGGCCGCCAACTACAAATAACCAATCAAACCACCATGACGCACTAGCAATCCGAACGGAAATGCTCACTAAACACAAGCAGTCTGTCGATCTCCACAAACTTTAATCCTACTGTGTTACGGCTTAAACAAGCACAATGTCAAGTCTAGATACACACGACCAGCGCGCAAGTGCCGAAGGGGCATACCCACAAATGTTCCCACTCAACCCTTGTGGAGTGCAGTGGAAGAAGGTGAAGCTCATGTCCCACCAACCAACACATTGGCGCACCTTCGTTCGGAGGCACGCCAGGCACCCGGCAAGCAACGACTTGTTCAGCCCTCCGCAACCATTCCCGGAGTCTGAGCGGTGACAACCCGTTTGGCTGAACATCCCTTCTATTATTATATTATGTTTTGGTTTCCTTGTCCTTGTTGCCGGGACAGTCCTTCTTTCAGCCTTCCTCCTACCTGCCCCAGCGCCCCATTCTCTTCCAAGCCACCGAAGCGGCGCCGGAAGGCTTCGCCCACTCTCTCGTACACCGGGGGCGTGAGCGATTTGGCCTGCGAGCGGAAGGGCGACCGTGGATCAAACGGCCGCAGCATACATGAACGACACGAGTCGCCATGTCAGATTGTTTGGATTATTGGAACTGCCCACAGCTGGTCTACCGCGAGTGGCAATGTAGTTACCTCCAAAAGGATATGGAATAAGATGGATGAGTTGAACAAGTCACCACGAATTAGGCTTCCAGAAAGCCGGCCTCTGGAACGCACGGCCCTCAGGGTCAATGCAACTGGCCAGACAGTACACTGAACGTCTGCCCAACAGCGGCTGTTGTTTTGCAGCACCAGGCGCCCACAGTCACGTTCGCCGTGCGACCTCTGGCCGCATACGCAAGCCTCCAATGGTGCCATGTACCTTTTGATGCCTTGATTCAAGATGTCGGGCACATTCAGTAAGCAGCATCATAAAGAATAGTTCGAGGAAGGCAGGGAAATGGCTCCGAGGACCTCTGGAGTAAGCCTAACCGGAGGTCCTCGGAGCCTTCCACCGTCCTTTCCCGCACGACCGTCGCCGTCGTGCCAGCGTCGTTCTTTGACAATCGCCACTCTCGCCGGCGCACGCCTTAAAAGGCGTGGAGCACTCTCACTCATGCCGTGATGCGCATCGAGAGCGTGAGTAAGAGCAGCGGACGCAAGCGGCGTCGCTGCCTTTTAAGGCATGCGACACCAAGATGCGGCGGCGGAGCCGGTCAAAGACTGATGCCTACTGTCATGAAGCACTGAAGTTGATTTTGCAATGAGCGCATGCAACTTGCTAAGTCGTGTTCCGCCCAGTAGGACGAGAAGGAGAGCAAGCCAGCACCGGAGAGGCCTGATCGAAACCTCCAGACTGGGAGGTTCTGGCAGCGGCACATGCTGAGCCTCCTGGAAAGCTAATGAGCAGCAAATCCTACAATCGGAGCCAGGTCAGTTTTGCTCCCTGGCAACGTTCGGCCCAATACATTGGGTCTTTGGTCAACGAGGCGTCGCACGCAAAGCAACTCCTGGATTCTGGACATAAAGCGCCTCAATGCCTCAATCCAACAGCGCGAGACTGGTGAGATTCCCTTCACGAGGGCTGGTTTTCAGGGTTCCCAAGTTCGAATTAAACATGTGCATCGAAAAGTCCAAAGGCCAAAACTTGGGCAAACGAGACCACATACTGGACTTCACGACTTTATCTCCAAGCTGCAAATGGAATTGATCCCATGTGTCTGAACAACTCTCTAAACTCGTGAATGCAAAAATTGGTATAATTTCGATTGTTGAGTCTGGTGCACAAGGAGTAGATTGACTCAAACGCTTTAAAAACTCTGCATGATCAGCTTCCAACTTCCAACACGTGGAAGAACCAAGATACCTTGAAATATGGTTCTGCAAACACAAAACCCACAGGTAGCTAGTCCTGCTACATTCAGTCAGGCCAATTCAGGGCAAGCTGATCCTTTTGGGTGATACCCGATTCCGACTTGCAACTGAACGCAGCTACTCTCCCCTTATTCTGGAGTCCAACCATTTCTACATGTTGGACTACCTTGAAATTGCTGTGAGAAAGGAAAGGAAAGGAAAGGAACGGAAAGCAAAGGAAAGGAAAGGAACGGGAAGGGAAAGGAAAGGAAGATGTGGCATCTTCCGCAAAATGTCCTTCCCATCGCAAGTGTGTCTAATGGCGCAAGCGCGCCTCCCGCAGCTCCGGCTCGTAGTCTCGCGTCACGATGCGCCAGACGTGGACGTCCTCGGGGCTTCTCCGAAAGGACGCGTTTGCACTCCGTTTGGGGTCGGCAAAGTGCGCCAAAAGGCCAAGGCACCCAGATTCATGGGAGATTCCCCCAAGAGTCATCCATGGAAGTTGAGCACCCTGCAAGGCTTGCATCCAGCAAGCTACAATACTGACTGAGTGATCATCTAGCCGAACCTGTCAGTTCCTTGTTGTGGTGTCCTGCCCTTGAGAAATCTTGAACTGAAGAGAATCTTCTCCTTAGCAGCTACTGGTACCGGATAACCGGGCAGCTTGGGACAGGTCATAGGGCCTGCAAGCCCTGTCTGAGGATGAGCAGGAATTGAGAAGGGGTCCATTGAGCAGGTCGCAAGGCGCAGGATATCAATTCGCATGTTGCTGTTTTGCCGAGCGAATAAACCTGAGGTTGTTTACCACCTGCCCCCCCCCCCCCCTGCCCCTGCACACACGCACCTGCAACACTCAATTGTGCACCAAACGTACTCTTTGAGCCATCTCAAGGGAACGTTTGATGTTTCAAATTAGTTGTGGAAAGCATCAGTTTTTGTGATATTCAGGTTATCATTATAGTATCATGACTATCTTAATCATCATGTTCACGGCAATGTCAGGGTATCACAAAAAGTGGGCCTGAGCCCCCATTTCCCACACAGTCCTGGCCTTCCCACATCCCCCCCCCCCCAAGACGTTCGCCGAAACGCCACTGGCACGGCCCCGTGCTGGCGCAGCGCGAAGAGCGCGATGCAGTCCGCCACCTTCGAGCCCACCCCCGGCAGCAAACCTCAGGAATGGTTGGGTGGTCATAGAGAGGGAACATGATAAGGGATATGGCCACGGGTCAAAACCCAAATCGTACCCCCAGTGAACATCCCAATCCCAACTAAAATAGACTAAAATGGGTGGTGCACCTATCCCAAAATGGTACCATTGGTTTTGAACCATGGCCATATGATGAAGGGTGAGAGGCAGAATGGTAAACTTAGGCAAAATGCGAAGAGCCTTTCCCCTCAGCTTTGTCGTCTCTGAACGCCTGGTTGGGTACCACATGCGGATCTGGTAAACTCTCAAAACGGCCCTGGTTTGAAGGGCCAAATGCCAGAAAGACGTGGGGTGCCATGGAGCTGGCTCCTGGGCGGAGAGAAACCGTACAACATCCCACACCAGCTGTTGATGCACTTGAGAACAATCCAAGTGGCACTGCCGGAGGGGGCGCCCATGCCAACATCACCTATGGGCTGTTTTGAATCTACCTGGGCAATCTGCAATCAATTCTTGCACATCATGCAGTGGAGCAGCATTCGCATAGAATTGTGGGTTGCAACCCTTTAGGCCATTTGGAAAACAAACAAGACGATCAACGCTGCCGATGTGTGTTGGCAAATCAGTGGACTAAATCTTGCAACATGCCGAGGAAAGATATACCAATGCTCGCCATAGCAGGTCCTCAATTCATCCAAAGGTACAGTAGTGAAATCATGTTTTGCTTTCACTGGAACACTGTTTCTATGCAGAATGCACGGGTGTCTGCTTTGGAGGCAGTGAGGACTGATTCACGCCCGTTTGACCTGTCAAGGCAAAATGGGACCTCAAATAAGAGACTTTATCCTGGATACACCTCACAACGGCGGTGCTTCCCAAGTCCAGAAAAACGACCACTCCTGGCTTGACGTCTTAGCCGATGGTGGGAAACATGGTACATATAGACCACGAAGGGAGGGAGTGAGCGCATATGGCAGGGTGAGGAAACATATAAACCAACTTGTGCACATGGTAGGGACCATGTCAACCACGTCACCCCCCCTTCCTCCCTCGCAACGGCAGCCACTGCTGGTCTGAGCAGCACAGCTGGCGCCGGATCTCCAGGCGCCTGGCCCGCAGCTGCTCCGGCCTCAGCTTCGAACTTTGAAGCGCTTGGAGATGTTGAACGGGGATCAGACAGGAAAATCCCGAGATGCTTCGTCATTTGGGAATACTGAAAATTTGTCAGCTTCGCAAGCGCTTGGATCTTTTGAACGGCTCAGACCAGAAAATCCTGAGACGCTTCTTCAAACTGGGACTACTAAAAAATTGAAGCCCCAGTTGACATTGCCTGGACATTGGTTGAGGAGTCGGATGTGATGTCCTTTCACTAGCTCGGTTTGGGGTGGAAGAATTCCTCAAAGAGATAGAACGAGCAAGGCGCTCAACCACAGAGGATTGACCAAAGGCACGCAAATGCACGCAAGGGCTGAACCGAGAAGATCTAAGGAAGATGGCCTAGGCTCTCAAAGATGTTTATTTACCTGACAATCATGGACCTCTCGCAAACCCTGGCTTGGCAAACCCTTCGTGGACATGCCATTCCATCATTTGAGGACACAGTGTCACGGCCGTGGCCCAAAGCCTGCTCTTCCAATTCGCGAGCTTAGCTTGCTCTGGGGCACAGGCAATCACACTCAACCACACCTCCCAAGGCCTGTGTTGCTTGCCCTGATTCAGCCGGAATCACACGTTCGCATAACAAACCCGAAAACAGGCGCATGCTACACTCATTTCGCGCAGACCAAGCAACCAACTCCAGGCAAATCGTAAACGTCTTGTGACTCAAACCTCACAGACAAGCTGCTCTTCAGCAGGAAAGGGATCAATGTGCTCCGGCTCCCTGGCAACGTGTGCAAGGCACTTGCGACCCCCTCCATTTGGTTACCCAGCGGGTCAAACCCAGGGGCTCCGCTTCGGGGAAATCAGAATGGAAGCCTCAGCCAGAGTTCCACACTGAGGTGATCCAGGAAACCTCCAAAACATGCGTCAGCTCACTCAGTCTCCTGGCCCGAACTAGCTGGCAGGATAGGCGTTAGGAGGCTCAAAAGGCATGATGTGACTACTGAATATGAAACATAGTGCAAGTCTCTACAGCCCGTGAAGCGTATGTGAAGTTGCCGGTCAAATGTGGGGATGATCCAAATCCTTGAGGACGACACATCAACGTCCTACGAAGGTAGGTGACATCGATGGAAATTCATCGGATCTTCAGGCCGATCCTTTGCCTTGTTCGGCGGGTCTAGAGCGTAGAGCGGCCCTGCCTGCAAGCCTCCAGCCACTTCAGCAAGCTGCAGTCCTGACATGGCAGACTCCAAGAGTACCCAAAGATCGCGCTTCCCATTTCCGAAAGCCTCCTGCTATCTCAAAAGGTAAGTTACTTGATGATGGACCTGAGTGTTTGTAATCCGCACACTAGCATACCAGCAACCAAAAAGAAGATACCGGCTGCAATGCACATCCATGCGACAGGTTGCAGTTTGTGTGCCCAAAGGACAAAGCTAGGGAGGTTAAAAAGGCGCGCGAGCGTTCCAAATCCAACCCCCTTGCCATATGCAGTGTTCAGAAAGAGGATGTCAGGTGATTTCGTTTGCAACAGCACATCTCAAACACCAAACGTTTGAAAGCAGAGCTCCCAAAACTTTCTGCCTCAGCCCGTGGGCTCCCAGCCTGGAACTCGGGAGATTTCAGTATACAGCATAAAATGTATAGGCTTACCTGTACATGCACCGTATTGTGTTCATGCAGTTTAGAATCCGCCATAGTGTACTTTCAAGATCCAAGGGAGCTGACCCGTTTTTCATCCGGCTCCTGCTCCAGCAGCTTCTTGGCAGCTCCCCGCAGGTAGGCCTTGCCGGGAGCTAACGGTCCGAGTTTGGGATCCATCGGGATGGCACCCAAAGGTCCAGCCAGAAGCTTCTGTGCGTAGGACAAGCGCAAACAAAATTTGGCCATGGGTCAAAATCTAAATCGTACCCCCAGTAAACATCCCAATCCAACCACTAAAATAGACTAAATCCTCAAAATGGTACCATTGGTTTTGACCCACAGCCATTTGGTCGCAAGTATCAATGCGGCGAGGGAAAGCGAGTCTTGCGTGAAGCATGTTGGGCCATCGCAGTGCCTCCAGAGTGTGCTACTCATTTGAAGAGACTGCGGCCTCAAATAGTTTGGGATCCCCTGTATATGTTGCTACTGCTGCCCAGAGAAAAAAAGCGTCTCGCGTCAAAAGATACGGACCGGGAAGGCAAGCTTTTCGATTGGCCAATCCAGCAGCCAAACATGGCATTGTATTTGGTGCAAGGAGACTTGGCAAAAGATTTCTCCTCTGGCCAATACCTCCTGGGCCGATCAATTGTGCAGATGTTGCGGAACTACTCTCCTGACATGTGCCGGAAGTTCCAATTCCTACTATATGGTCCAGGGCCTCCAAAATGGTGAGTGCATTCCAACTCGCCGAGTTGCGGCACGGTAGCCGAGGCCCAGCTTTCGCAGGGTCTGGGCCTCAGAAACAGCAGCTGACAACAAGCAACTCAACTGGCCATGGGTCAAAACCCAAATCGTACCCCCAGTGAACATCCCAATCCCCACCAAAATAGGTTCTAAAATGGGTGGTGCACCGAAAACCCCCAAAATGGGATCCCATTGGTGTTGACCCACGGCCATCTGAGAAAAGGTGTTGGGATGGAAGGCACGGCGACCCAAAGGCTGGGCCAAATCCGCCGAGCAAGACATTCTAGCCATAGCATTCTGGTCGAAAGTGGGCCACTCTGAGTCCAGCAGCCAAAGAGGGAAGATACAAACATCTTCTTGATCTGGCTAAGTACATGTCAAGCGCGTCTGCCGCATCGAGGCACTCCGACAAGCTGTGCCTGGGTATAACGTCCCAAGCCCTCGGTCTCTTGAACTCCGCCATCATGTCTTGTGATACAAAAAGCATGGGATGCACCCCAAACCTAAATCCAGACTAAGCAGAAGTGAATCATTCTGGGAGGGTGATCTTCTGGGCTATTCCCAAATTGACATTACCGCCGGTGGGCAAGTTGGATTGGATGAGACCAGCCAAGGCCACTGAGGCAGTCAGGAATCGTCCTGGGAAAAACTAGGCAGCCCCGAACCAAAATCTACCCGACTTCCAATGGCAAAAACACGCTGCGCGGTTCTTCGCGGACTCTCGTAAAGCCCGGGAGCTCAACTTCAGCCTGTGGCTTGCCTCAAGCTCCCAGCCACAACCTACGAAACACCCTGCTGATGTCCAACCTTAGCTACCTATCTCTACGATGATTGTAGGCACTGCAGACTATGGCAGGCAATGCATGCTGATGTCAAATGTAAAAAAAATAAAATGCGTCCAGCGGAAATCCAAACCCGCCAGTTTTTGCCCCGATGGCCAAAGCGCCGGCACCGCCGCTAAGACCTCCAGGTCGGGGAAAGCATAGAGCGCTGGGCATTGGTGGAACTCCTTCTCGTGCTGGAGACCTGGCGACGGCCAGCACGAAACAGGACCTGTAACACGAAAATAAAACGGACACCCTTCAAAATAGCTGCCATAGGGGTATCCAGACGTATCGTGCTGACAAATGTGGCGCTGGTGCGCGCCAGGAAGCTCGCTCGACATCAACATGGAACTGAGGGACAAGCCATGTCCCTGTTGGCCAAGAGCAAAGGCGGCCCCAGCAGCTCGCGAAGCATAGTTTTCAATGCAGGAATGACGACAGCCCCGTAGGAACCTGAAAACTTGTGGCACGATCACTATTGAAAGGTCTTGGAGGTGTCGATTTGAGAAGAGAAACCCAAGCAGCAATGTCATGTAGTGTTGCAGGGCTGCGGTCTGACTTGCAGTTCAAAACCTAGGAAGAACCCTTGAACGAAATTGAATGAGGTGTTGCTTAGAATGAGCATGCCTCAATCTGTGGGCCATGCACCAGGAGCAGGGGTCGGCCGTATTCTTGGCCCCTCCTCACTCTCTCCAGAGCACCCAGCGTTTCTTCTCGCCTCCCGCTGCATGTACGGATGTCGGCAGCCGCAGTCTGCACAGCAGACGGCCGTAGCGTGCACGAAGGCGGTCCATGAGGAGACAAATGCGCGACCTCGCACTGCAAAGCTGATGGCTGTGGGTAATCGTCCATTGGCGTTCGGCTTGAACCGCTGACAATGATCTCAGTCTCCCTAGTTCTTTGTTGGCACTTGGAAGCATTGCATCATCCCCAAATGCTTTGCTTCTTTTTAATCCCTGCCAGCCTCAAGTGAACGCACGCCACCAACTCCACATCTCTCGGCCGCGTTTCCTAACATAGGGCACGCTGAAAATGGCTTCTGGGGTCCCTTAGCGGCTCCCTTGAAACAGCAAGCAAAAGTTGCCATTCGGAATGATAGCTCCATCATTGGCCCACCTTAAGACAATTAGTGGGATCCGAACGGGATGGAACCCAATTCTTCTCCATAGACTTTCGGATACCCGTGAACATTCATACGAATCCATACGCTCACAAGCTCAGGCCGCGTCGCACGTTGTTGTTCTGCGAGCAGATGAAGCCCACCACCGTCTCAGCCAAGTCTTGCTGCAGGACCCGCAGCCACGGCAGGCACCTCCGAATCTTCACCAGATCGCCACAAGCAGCCCAAGATATTACGTGTTGGTTTCGATGAAGTCCAATGCAACAGTGGAAACCATGGGAAACATGGGAAACCAGCACGGTGAAGTCCACATGTTGGGAAACATCGCAAAACGCCACAGTGGAGACAACACCATGCGAATTCCCACCGTGCCACGCATCAGATTCTTGAAATCCATAAAGCATGGGAAAGGGAACTATGACAGGCGACAGGCCGGATTTTAGGAATCTGCAGTTTAGTCATGAACTGTCGAAAGTCTGATATTCAGGAACCGACAACTCGGAAAGCAAGACCTATTCGCAGCCTGTGGTTTGGAATTCTAGGGCAATGATTCGGACATTTGGACACCAACATACACCAACGATTATTCAGAAATCCAACGGTACATCGCCATGAATGACCGATTCATGAAGTGGGCTGAACATTTTGTGTGGTTGGTTGCCCATCCGAAACTTCGGTTGAAAACAAAACCACCAAGGGATCGCAGGTTTTAGTCCTTCTTTCCATTTAGCAGGGTTCCATTTGGAGTACCTATTTTGACCCGCAGCCATCTGTTGTGGCCAGGCCTCGCCACTTCTGCCAGCCGTGGGCAGCTCTTGCCCCAAGTGGCATGCAGCGTGCCCAGAGCAGGCGCACCCGCCTGGCCGAAGTGGGCTGCAGCTCTGCACATCCCATCGCTGGAACAAGATACGCAGCTGAATTCAACATGGCTTCTAGATTTGCTGAAAATTGAACTGGGAAAAGCGCGTCTCTGGAGGCGAATATGTGCTGGAGCTGCATGCAATAAGTAGGAGCTTCGCGCGCTTGTAAAAGATCCCCCTGCCCACCAACACGGCAACTTCGCAGGCCGCCAGTTGGTCATCAACATGCGAGCAAAGAAGCAAGCCCAAATAAACTCATTCTTATCCTTGCCCGAACACTTGGCTGCGCCCATTCCCTAACCAACTGCCTCAGTGTAAAGGCGCCAAGTTGGCAAGAAAAGGACATATGACTGCTGGGCCTGCACAGCAATGGAGAACAAAGCCAGGCTGGCCATGTCCTAGGTGATGCAACGATTGGGTGTCTCAGCAACACTTTTTTGATCCACAATTCGGGCCATAACGCCAACCCCTTGTCATGCCAAGGGGAAATCAATTCAGGGATCCCTGATGATCCCATAAAAGCAGCTGGGGCTTTCCACTCGCCCCCCCTCCCCCCCTCCGCGCTTTGCTGCGACCCCATCTTCCGGCCTCCAGCCCGAAGAAGCACCTCAGCTGCTGCGCGGTCACCGCCGGGCCTCTTGGCACTGGATGCACCGGACGGAAACCAAGCAGCCACACACCTTCTGTTTGGAGAGCTGGCACCTCCTATTTGGAGAGCTGGCAGGCTGATGGTTTGTAGGGGCCAGATTCCACAATTTGCTCAACGCTTTTTCAAATGAGTGCCAAGCTTTCTGCAACAGAATGCTTGGCCTCCATTGGTGTCGCCGGCTTGGAGTCGCTTGGGAACCAGCAAATGCAAACAATCAAGAAATGATCGAACCATTGCCAAATAAGCCAGCCAGAAACTACTTTTGTCGTAAACTCGACCAACAAGCAAAGGAATGACCTGAAATCCTGGCAAAGCGACTCGCTCAAAGTTACACACTATCTAGCCTGATGCATGGATCCGTCTGCACCTGGATATGTGGTGAAACATGACCACCTTCCAGCTCCTCCACCCTTGGCTCACCTTTCCCCCCACTTGCGCGCCTGCCAGGGTGCGCCAGCGCGGCCGGAGGTTCGAGGTGGACTGCTGCAGCAGAAGCGCGGAGCCGCCCAGCGTCCCGAGCCACGCGTCCTGCAGAAATGGCAGCCGGCGCTTGCGGGGCAAGCCATGGAAGGGTTGTTGCCCACAATCGTCCTTAATGGCCCATGGTCACAGTCACTCAAAATGGCTCTCCTTGCTATGGCTCTGAATCAGTACTGCCAGCACAGGGGATGGCCAGCTCAAGTCCAAAGGCCCCGTGCGGCCTCCGCACTGCCTTCAAAATGAACTGCGTACGTGTCTGGCCAAGGGAGGTGCTTCTGGTGCATTCCGTCAGCGTCGTAAGCAAAGAAAACAACCAGCTTCTCAAGGTCGATCCACCGAAAGTCCGCGGAAGCGGCGGAAGCTTCGGTTCCCCTTATCGATGGTTATCGATGGTTGCGCTAGCCGAAGCACGTAAAAGCACACAGTTACTTTCAGGTCGACCCCCGAAACTCCGCAAAGGCGGCAATAGCAGCGAGCGCGGTTTTTGCACGGTCCAACCGCCGCACGCACCGAACCCGCCCCCGTACGAGCGGCGCAAGAGGGGTGGCTTGCGCGCATGTGGACGATCCGAACTCGCGCACAGGGCCACGTTTTCGGCCCATGTCTATTCCCAAGTCTTCGCGTCAGTCCGCAAAGGTTTCACCGATTTGATTGTTGCCCACGCGGAAAAACGCAAGCAGCCATGGTGCGAAGTGGACATCTTGAATAACACGAGGTTTTCGAGAGTCGAGCCGCCCAAAGTCCGCAGAGGGGACACCGATTCAAGGCTGCGAAGCAGTGCGCGCGGCTGTGCCAACAGTTCCGTTTCCCAACGCGTTCCGAGCCCATTCCGAACACGCTGGGTCTCGCTCCAAGACCGCCTCCGTACTGCGCGGATGCGAAGAGCCTTCATGCGCAAGGCCGCGTTTCGGCCCGCTTCTATTCCCCAGCTCTCGCTCTGTCCAGCTTCTTCTCAGCCGTTGCAAGCACAAATGCACGCATTTCTTTGAGAGAGCTGGCTCGTCATAGCTCCAGTACTACAGAAGTTCCCTCTAAACTTCTTTTGACTCAAACGTCTATTTGTGTACTACGTAGTAGTTGTCTGTCGTAACGTCGTAGTTTTGTGCCAGTGCATGAAGCTACGTTCATCGTTTATGTGACAAAACAGGGGGGACTCCCTCCCTGTTGGAATGAATTTTGGCGAACCGCTCTACTCCCGTCTCCCGTGTCCGGGCCTCTCGGGCCCTCCTGGCCCGGCCTCCCGGATGCGCTTCCAGGCGAAGGACTGGCCCGGCGCCAGGGTGGACGCCAAGCACACCTCCTCCTCCAGCTCTTCCGCCGCCTGCACCGAGCCGAACGGGAGACCCGCTTTTAACGCCACGCGGCGGCCTTTGGCGAGCTCGCCCGGTGCCAGATGGGCCCATTTTGAGTAAACCAGGAGGCAAAGGGGAAGTGCGCACTGGAAAACAGCCAGTGCTGAGAGGAGTTTGACAGAACCAACCACCTAGTTGGCGGTTGGAGCTCTACTATCTTGTCTTTTCGAAGCGTGCCGTGATCGACTCCTTGAATAAGGATGCTTGTGGTTGACTGGGGTTTCTTCGACCAGCAGACCGTGACCAGCCCTTCAGCTGCCCCCTCCGGCAAGTACAGCCAGTGGCACCTCCAGCGCAGCTACGTCCACCGTGGGCGCGGCAGCCTGCAGTCCCGGGCCCTTTTACAACTGGCTGGCTTTCCCGCTGGCTCCCTCTCTCTCTCTCTCTCTCTGCTAGTCTCTCTCTCTCTCTCTCTCTGTTTTTTGGAGGCATCCCAAGGGTGGTAGGCGGTGGGAATGAATGTGATAGCATCATGCAAGCGGCAAACAACCAATCAAGCATCCTGGTGTGGGCGGGAGATGTTCAATGGATCCCAGATCCTGCTTCCGTGATCTTGCCTAATCAACTCATGTTGCACCCTGTCACACTCAATCCTCTGAGAGTACCGCCCCTTGATCAGGGCATCCTGAAAAAGTGCCAGTGTACACTTCCTTCCATTTGCGTTGTTGTTGGTAAACTTCAAAAACGGTGAAATCAAGGGTCCTCGTAGTACCTGGTCAAGTGTCGCATGTTTGCTCAGGGCATGTTTTGCTTATAAATAATCCCATGCTTTGCTCTGACGTATCCCATGACACACCTTCAAAGGAAACGCCGGCCTGAAGCACACATTCCCGAAAGTGTCTCGGCTGCCTTTTTCAGCTCCAGCAACATGCGTGCTTGCCGCAGGTAAACACGCATCTGCAGCATAAACAAAAGTCACACAGCTTCGCTTTCACCACTTCCCGCTGCGCCTGGCATTTCAGCCTCCCTGCGGGCCAAACTCCAGTCATCCCCCGGCGCCGCTCAGAGGATGCCCCCCGCACTGACGGGGGGTTTCAGGGCCGGGCTTTGCCACAGACTTTCAACGTCCATGTGTTGATGCCCCGTGTGTTGGGTACCTCCTTTGCACTCTCTTGATGGTGGGCTGGTCCTCCCTTCTGACTGTGGGCCTATGTCCGAAACTCAATGGGCGCCCTTCATTACTCCCCCGGTGGATACTAGGGGTGGTCCGAAAATGAATTTGCCGATGGTGCTGCACTGCTTTGGGGTTGCCCTTCCAGCATGAATCCGGGTTCCTCTGCTTGTCCCATCGCGGTTGGATGTGATATCATCTATACTTGCAAGCGAGATGGTGTGGTGCACAACATCTTATTCAAGGTGAAGCTGTCTTCGCTTTCTTTGAGCCAGACTCGGGCGAGTCATTGCAGTCTCTCTCAGACTCTAGAGGCTGACATTCACCTCGCGGGCATACCTATCGGTGAAGAATAGGCTATAAACGCGTGGTTGACCTTGCTGCCACCCGCATATGCACACAAAAGTAGGAATGGGAGACAAACGACAGCTCCGTGGCGTGTGGTCGACAAGCACTTGTTCCTTGATTACCGAAATTGGGAAACCTACTTGACCAACCCCGCATTCGATGATGATTCGACATCCACCAAAAAAAACGGAAGGTGGAAGCATAATCAGAACGCCCCACGTAAGAGTTTGGCATCCGAACGTCACCTGAAAAGAACTGAACCTTGCAGCCAGCACTGGATCACCAATGTGCTATTCTGATGCATTTCATGCGGCTAGCACTGGTTGGTGGCTTTGTATGCATGTCAAAGCAAGCGTGTTCTGCGTGGTCTTTGCCGGACAGGAACATCTTGAGCGTGGGCGTCAGGACTTAAGATGCTTGATGGGTGATTTGTTTATTGTTTGTAGGCTTGATTCTTAGTTCCGGTTGTGTTGTTTGTTGGCGCATGTTGTAGATTGTGACAGATTGGTTGCTCAATATCAGCTCATAGTGGACTTTGTTTTGACCGCACCGCATGGTGCGTTGCGGGCCTCACGAATAAACCTCAGTAGCGCAAGGCCTCCTGCTGATTCGGTCAGAAACACATACACACACACACACAGTGAGACACCCAAGGGACTGATTGGATCAATGTTGAATAAATCAGCTCGAGTGCAAATGAATCGGATCGAATCAAGTCCAAATGGCTTTCCTCTAGAGGTGCAAAAGGAAGCAACATGAAGTACGTGCAGCAGCCGAAATCAGGTCTTGCTTCCCACTCTCATCCCCAGTTTCGTTGTGTGTTCCTCTGCTGAGAACAACGTCATCTAGTCCCTGGAAAGATCGGGGACTCGGCACACACACACACACACGCACACACACACACACACACCGAACGAATCGTCTGTGTGTGTGTGTGCGTGTGGGCGCTACCAATCAACACATGAAACTGCAAACTATACACCCCCGTGGGGTTGGAGCGCAACGAGCAAGCCTACAGTCAGCCTTGCTTGCAGTCACAATCATAGGTTGCCCAACTCGTTGCAAAGTACTGAGCATGCACCTAGCATCTCATTCACGGGCTGATTTTTGTTTTGGCATCCGGGACACTCACAAACTCCTGACATCAACTGACATGACAAGAAATGAAACTCAACCCACGGTACAGCCGGAAGAAAAACGAATTGCCTTGTTTTGACCCAAGCAAGCGGATGTCATTCTCCGCTGGAGTGCCAAAGTTGCAAAACAACCAAACATCTACCATTTCCAAATGAAGAACTGCAAAACGCCTCATCTGTTCAACAAGGTGAATTGTGTACATCATGTCCACCCACCAAAAGTCGTGAGTCCATGACTGTCGGCATATTTTGAATGTAGCTTGATTAATTGGGATCCTGAGGCGCCAGCCGGTCAACTGTCTCCAAGGAATCAGCCAGAACCGGCAAAATCGGGCTGTGCCACACACATCACAGCAAAGCTTTTGTCGCCAGGAGCGCATGTGAGGTGCCAGAAAAAGAACCGAAAGACTGAACGTTCAAAATGCGTCCATTGTCACAAACAACAGTGATGCAGTTTGTTTTGCAGGGGTAACTGTGGTAACTCAAAGGCGCTCCCAGTACTCCCTTTGATCAGTACTTTTTGTTTTGTGCGTGTGCGGCATGTGGGTGTTGGCGTCGGTGTGGGTGTGTGCTTGGTCTTTGAGGACCCGTTCTAAGGTTGGTTGAAAGGAGAATATAACGAAACATCGTTTTGACAGTCCCCGCAATTTTGACACATGCCGATCTGGCCATGGGTCAAAATCCCGTACCCCCAGTGAACATCCCAATCCCCACTAAAATAGACTAAAATGGGTGGTGCACCTACCCCAAAATGGTACCATCGGTTTTGACCCACAGCCATCTAGATTTCAACGTGCTCCTTCTGAGGCTGCCACAAAGACCTTGCCCGGTGCCGAGGTCAGCCTGGAAAGGGCCAAGAAGCGACTAAGCTTAGTCGGCAAACTTGCATCGCATGGGTGTGAGGGTGCGGGAAACCGCGCTTGTTTTATGTCTTCTCCCTTCCAAGCACCATGCCTGAATGCACCATCAAACCAATTCGCTCAGCGCCCTTACTATGTTTACATATGCAAGAATAGGGAGGCCACGGGGTCAAGGATCAAAGCTTTTTTCCTTGCTTTGCTGAATGGGCTACCAGCATCAAGCCAGTTGCATAGTCAGATCTCTTCTGGGAAGAATGTCTCCCGAGTCCCAATCCTAGATTTCAGTCTCTTTCCTTGATGCGCAGACCGTTCAAGGGATGTGTAGTTCACAACGACCCACGCAGCATGGATAGTATTTCAAGGGGGCGGTGAACACATCCTGGGCATAGCAGGCCTCCTTCACCCACCATGTTTACAGGAACGGCTGCATTGTATTCCGGAGTTGTTGGGGGGGGGGGGTGGCGGGGGTTCTCAAAACGGGGCTCCTCCAAATGCACTGGATCTCCTCTTAGCAGTCCTACAAAACCATCCTAAAAGGGCACCCTGAAAGAAGATCCGCCTAAGCTGCTGGGTGCTTCTTCGGCTCGCAGTTGAACGACACACATCCAACGAAAAAGCACCGTGTGACTCGCACGGATCCCAGGGAGGCACATACTCTTGACGCGCTCGTGGCCCACCACACGCTCCAGCGCAAACCTGGGATGTCCACTCCGGGCCACTGCCCGCACGAGATGAGTGGCATCAAAAGCAACTCCAAGCCATCCCAAACCAGCATCATGCTCCTCCCCAAGACATGCAATATGCTCCTTGTCTACAAAATATGTTTTTCTGGAATCCCGCACAACAATACTTTGTTTGGGAGGAGTCAACGTATCACATACCTCATCACCTCCTTCTCCAGGGCCCCTGCGCATCGTGCTGCGTGTAGAGGCACATGGAGTTGCATGTGGAGGGAACACGCACACCGGAGAGCATCTGGCAACGGATTCGGTCGAATCTTTTGGAGCTTTAGCTGCGATCAACGGTAATGGCAGGACATGCACGTTACCTTTGGAAGAACAGCAGTTTGGGCCGATGAGTCACAGGCTGATTCTGTTTTGCCACATGCTGCAACCTCGGATATACTCACACATAGACTTGTCGAGTACTCAAACTCAGCCAAAATTTGAGATGTCTCTTGATGTCTCAAAAACTAGCTGCCTTGTCAACACTCGATAGAGCACATGCACCTGAATCAATGTGCAAGTCTAGGTTGGCGAAACTACGTACATCCGTGCTGAAGATTTAACCAAAGGACTGCATGCGACCAAGGTCTGAGCATGCCAGCCCAATAGGATCAGCAGGCCTAAATGCATTCGGTGCTCGTAGAACAAATGGGCTTTGAGGAATGTTTGTTGCAGCGAGCTTGATCAAACTTCAGCTTCCCTTCAATTGGTGGACTGGATTGGTGGCTTGGTGGTTGGGAGTGGCTTCCCATTGCCCTCTACAAGAAACACGGGGTTCAAATCTGCGAACCACCAATCCAAGTCACCAGTGAGGAGTTGCTTGAACACTTTCTATCGGTAATGGCTGAGACAAAAAATACGGAAAAAGTATGATTTCATTATAGTTCTCTTCAAATGGTGTCTGACAGGTTCTCATGGCCGGCTGCGAAAGATCTTCAGATCAACCCCCTGTGTTGCAGGCGGCTCATAAATTGAGTGTGTGTTAAACCCTAGCCTCATGTCTTGGGCTTGAAAAACCAACAAGGCTTCCACGGCTACTTGTGTGATGGGCATCATCGAGTCCATCTGACCAATGGCATCCAAACGCGACTTCCCAAGCCCCAGTGGCTTTTACTTCCAACAAGCGGCGGATCTCTTTCCGCGCCTCCTCGTAGATTTCCGGTGTCTGCGGCACACCGAAGAAGAGAACATAGTTCGCCCCTGGAGCAGCCGATTGCACCGTTGCTCTGACTTGGTCTAAAGTGATGATCAAACCAAAGGAGAGCTGACCCAAATTCGGCCTGCGCAAGTACGTTTGCGAATAGACTTCGTTGCCCCCTGCGACAAGGACTATGCCCGCCAATACAGGGGCTTCACTGACTTGACCACGCAATACTGACTTCATGATGCTGCACGAACCACTCCAAAACGCTGGAAGCAACACTGCATTTCATGGCAACAAGCCACACTCCACCACTTGTCCATTGGTTCTCATGGTTGCTTCAAGCCTGGAGGCTTCGCTGCCAAACCAAGCCCAAAGCTAAACAGAAGCTGATATGCGTTTCATTCACGAGCGAGACTCTCGATGGCTATCCAATGTAGATGCATTAGATGTACATACAAACGGGTGTGCATACATGTGTGTGTGTGTGTGAGTGAGTGTGTGTGTGTGTGTGTAAGTGTGTGAGTGTGTGAGAGTGTGAGTGTGAGTGTGTGTGTGTGTGTGTCCGTGTGTGTGTGTGTGTGTCCGTGTGCGTGTGTGTGTGTGTGTGTGTCTATGTGTGTGTGTGTGTCTCTGTGTGTGTGTGTGTCGCTCTGTGTGTGTGGGTGTGCGGGTGTGCGGGCGTGTGCGAGTGTGCGTGTGCGTGTGCGTGTGCGTCTGCGTCTGCGTGTGCGTGCGTGTGCCTGTGCCAGTGCCAGTGCCTGTGCCTGTGCCTGTGCCTGTGCCTGTGACTGTGCTTGTGCGTGTGCGTGTGCGTGTGCGTGTGCGTGTTCGTGTTCGTGTGCGTGTGTTCGCAGGAGCGCGTGCGCGCGCGAGTGCGAGTGCGCGTGCGCGTGCGCGCGGGCGGGCGGGCGGGCGGGCGTGCGGGCGTGCGTGCGTGCGTGCGTGGGTGGGTGGGTGTGTGTGTGTGTGTGTGTGATGTTTCATTTGTATAGAGAGAGAGAGAGATGGACAATACGCGGATGCACACCGCTGTAGAGATCTATTCATGCACTAGCAGGGAGAACATCGCTCAATCTGACATCACATGATGTCGTCTATAATATCAAGTGATACTATACGGTACATACGATACATGATGATAGCTGATACAGCACGGATGATTGATACGATCTGCTCGAGTCAAATAGACCACAAGCCTGCCACCGGGCAGCTTAGCGATCAGAAGCACGCCTTTGTTAATCACAACGGTCAGCAAGAGTGCGACGGCAGTAGTCATTGAGCCAAACACACCTTCAGAAGCAATTACTGAGTAAGGCAAACAGCCTTCTGCAGCACTTCGAAACGCGCATTTCACCATCGGGCGGGCGTAATTTGTCCTCTCAAGTTCGTAACATACTTAGACATAGGTCAACTTCCAAGTCAATCACTGACAACACCAGCCGGCATGTTGAGGGAGTCACATAAGTTCGTTCAAGTCATGCAGTGACTGAGTGAAAAGTGTGACCTTGGCAATCGAGCGTATTCTCCCCTTCACCAAAATCCCAGCAACGCCCCAGACACCCCACTCCTCTTAGGCGATACCGCCGGTACCAGAGGAATCGCCTGAGCATGCGCCCCTGCTCTCAACTAGATGTGATTCATCCTCAGGAACCTCTACAGCGATGACTGTTGACATTTGGACGAATTGTTCTCTTTTTCACCTTCCTAAAGTGCTCGTCCCCACTCAAAATCATGGATCTAATACCAAGAATACAAAAAATGACCGACACTATCTGTACCGGGCAGCACAGGGATGACATCTTCACACTTTCCGGATTTTTAATAGCTCTAGGTCCCGCTTTCCCTCTGCCATAGCCGTGCCAAGGCCTGGATTTTGGTTCCCGCGGCGGACGCAAAACATCCTGCACAGCCGCAGGTTATAAAGGTAAAAGGAGGAGAGCCCCGCACCTAGATCAATGTTGAACAATGACACGGGGGGGGTGCCAGATTTTCTTTGATGCGCGGTTGGACTTTCGTACCTTCCAAACACCCAATTCAATATGCAGGGAAGTGCCAGACCACCAAATCCAATCTACCATCTGCTCACCTAAGAGCCAGTGGAGCAAGGCATATTGACCAGCTCCAAGTCAAGAATGCAGTGCTATCTCAAAAACTCTTACCCCTTAAGCAGCACATTGCGTTTGGCCTCCAAACAGTCCGGCAGACCTCAAGAAAGCAAGAGCCAGGCACGATCATTTCAAGTCTACTTGGCACCAGTGACTTTGATTCGGCCCCCGAGGAAGTCATTCATGGGACAAGGACCAAATTCAACAAGGCCTTTCTTGAAAGAAGTCTGATGCAGGACGAGTGAGTAGTCTGAACTCTGAACTGACCCACTGAATGACAGCGCTTCAGAGACCTGCATCACTTTCACGCACTCCCAACCAATTGAATAGCAATTAAGACTGTTGATGCCAATTGCATGCCATGCTGGAGACAACGATGCTGTTCAAAATAGAGTGACGGGCCCTTTCAACAAGCAAATGACACTTAGACTTTGGAAAAACGTGCAAGGAAAGCTGGGATCTCTGCCCGCCAGCAAAAACGTAGCGGTGCTCAGGGTCTCAGAACCTTTGAATTGAGGAGTCATCTTTGTACGTGTAGTTCATCCCGCACGCAAATCTGACTCATCAAGCTGGTAGCTCACACCAATACCTCCCTCCGGCAGATGTGCGTGTAGCCCAACACCTGGTCCTGCAGCCGCCTTTTGGAACCGAGCTCCAGGCTCGGTGACTAGCAGCATCTTCTGCTCACCGTGGAAGAACTTGAACCGGGCGCGGCTCAATGCCTGTGACACCAGTCGTCAGTCGTCAGTGTCAGGCTTGGCCCGAGGACTCTGAAACGAGGCGATTTTGAGCTCCTTGATTTTCCTTAAGCAGCCTCATGCGCCTTGTCTGGTGCTTCCAGATTTCCGGAAGGCGTCCCTCTCTGCCTGGTTCGAGGAGTACTCGAAGATGGACCCGAAACTGGCGCCCTCCTGGCGCCCAGCGCCGCACAACAAGGCCCCTTGCAAAAGCTGGGGGCACAGCACAAACATCGGTGCTTGTTTTTGAGAACAAAGATGGCCCTGGCAAATAGACTATGAAACCACCAGGTCAACCAGGGTCATCGATGGTCTACCAAAACAACAAGCAAGGACACCTATGTGCACAAACCAAATGTAGCAATCATGTTTTGCAAGCACAAAGAAAGTCCGGCGTTCTATCGCGCAACTCTCTGCTGGGCTGAAGATTGTCCACCGCTTTTTTCCGCGGGCATGTATTGAACCCTGGATAAAGTCCGCAAAGGGGTGGTTTCAGGCAGGGCATGCAAGCTGGGGCGACAACCGCCACAGCCTCGAGTCCCAAAGACTGGCTGTAGCAACATGGCGAGCACTTGTCCCCGGCCCGTCAAGTTACTGTGGCACTGTCTGCCACCCGCTTGCATCAGTTTTGGGCACCTGATAATCTGTGCTGCACAAGAACGACCTCATAGAGCACCACAAGTCTGTGTTTAATGCCTTGACTGCAAAACAAGCAGAACAGTGACACTGGACAACGCGAAGCAATTGCGGGAGCAGCTGCCAATTGCAATGGGAAAAGCAAACTGGTTTATGTCAGCATGACAAAAGGCAGCTCGAGGAAAAATGCAACAGCTTGTAGTCATTCGAACAAAACAGAGAACCCAAACATGCATTGTGATGTGGTGATCAACGGCCACACATGGAGCAAGTATTCAAACCATTTATGAACCGGCAGCAAGGCGGCAGGTTCCCATAAGCGCCACAATTAAGCCAGAATCAATGGCTGTCTCGTCCATAGACCAGTGGATAATGACAGATGTTCATGGATGGGCCGGAAGACCATGAAACGACCCTGCCCAGCAAAAGGCCGTCCTCCCGAAGGAAGCGCCGCAACCGCAGGAAGTTGTAGTACGTCCTCGGCCGGTTGCTACATGCAACAATAGGCATGTGTGCACCTGCGCGTGTGCGCGCGTGCGCATTGCGTGTGGGGGCGCTTGCGCTGCGTGAGAGCAAGGGGGCGGGCCGGCAGGCGGCGGGCGGGGGCACGCGTGCAGGGGTGCGGGCGTGGGGGCTTGCATTTCTGTGCTTGTTGTTGGATGATTGAATTCGTTCGCGAGTGTTGTGTGCGTGTGTGTGTGCTTCGGTGGTTGTGTGCGCAGTTGTGTGTGTATATGTACGTGTGCTCGCATGAGGGTGTGGGTGCGCGTGTGGGCGCTTGTGTTTTATACGTCTCGCAATGAGTATAGCAACGTGTCAAACGGAACAGCTTTGAGATCCGACGGCCCTTGGCCGGGGCTGGTTTTTCTGCCTTGCTTTAGCAGTGACAGCTGTAACAAGCCGCAGCATCAGCTCTCAGGCACGGGCGTCGCGACCAGCAGAAGCCCCTCCAGACTGCTGCCCAGGGGGCGCCAGTACCTCTGCTGCAGGAAACGGACGGGCCTCACTTTATTTAAGACCTCGGTCCAAAGATGTTGATGTTTTGCCTCAGGTTTACGTGCCTCTTCACTTGCGCTTCAGGACCAGCTTGAGGAAAGAGGTCATCCCAAGTGGGAGCTGATTATCTGAGCACAATCGTGAAACCTTTGAAAGATATGAGCCATCTGAAAACCGTCTTAGCAGGCAATGCTTCCTTGACTTGACTTTCCCTCACATGAGACATGCGCGTTTGAAATCAGATCACTTTTGCGGACCTAGGGGATCACTTGCGGATATCTAATGTCCAGCAGGTTCCGTGTTTCTGGGCTCGCAAACATGCTGTTGGTACGCTGACTGAGAAGACTTCACTCTCGCATCACTTGGGCACCCACAAATTTGATCACTTGTGCATCTGACGGCCACAAATCCTTGAGAGGGTAACCTGTAACCGGGTTTACGTGTGCCAGTTCACAAGTATCAGTTGTGGATCGCCTGAACACCTGAATTTGAACGCTTTCGCAGCTTGCGTACGTTTCAGGTGTGTGCGCTCAAGCGAACCTGCGACGCTTGCACTGCCGAAACGCGGCCTACGGCCAGGACAATTGGCAGGCGCAACGTCGGTTGAAATCTGGTACACAATTTCAGTGCCAAGTTTTTGCAGCATGGTACAGTTCAGCTCGGCAAAGGGCTGCACGAAGGCAACGCAGATCGTTGAAGTTGGCCTCTTCTTGATATAAGAACTCCAATGCAGCAGAAACACAAGCATGATTACAGTGCAATTTGCGGCCATGGCCAGATGATTTCAGCAGTAGACAGCTGTTTCACTGCGGCATGAATCGTCTCCTGCTCAGAAAGCAGCTGGGACTTCAGCCTCGTGGTCAAGACTCCCTGGCTTGCCAAGTTGCCTGTTACCCATTCTCAGATCGGGCATTGCCCACTCGGTCTGCACACAGATAATCCTGGTGCTGTTTGTGTGTGCCTGACTAAACAGAGGAGCCGTCTACAAAAGGTCAGTTCCATTTGGGTTTCCAATTCTGGGGATTGCAATATCCCCGGCGCACCTGCTCTCGAAGGCCTCAAAGAGCCGGTCGGACTGCTCTGACAAGGGGCCACAAGGCCTCGGCTATCAGAAGGAAGCTGCGAAGGTGCGAACATTGTGTGTGGAGTTACCCCCCCCCCCGCAAGCATGGGTCCCTTGAAGAGGAAACCAATCTTCCAGGTAGTCTCCCAGAGGTGCCATGTTAGTGGAAGGCAAGTTATCACTGTTGAACCATTTCCAAGTGATATCACATCGAGGCAGACAACAGCTTCCGCGGTCCTGCTTTTGCTGCAAGCGGGAAATGATGGGAAACCAGGAGCAGACTCGAGGAAGCCATTTCGTATGGCAACTGCAAGCTTATCAACTTGCACCAGGGCCCCTGCGTGTGCAAGAAGAATTGCCTGGAGATGCCCAGGGCAATCGCCTGCAAATCGCGGCCGGAGGCCTTTGCTTCCTCGGGGTGAGTACTTCCCCTTTGACGAACCAAACGGAGCTCCTCTGAGATGATAACCAGGGGAGGGTCGTGTGACATTGAGGTCACACCGAAGGCAGCCCCAGTCTGTGCCCATGAAGCCGCCTTAGATTCTTTGTCTCTCACTGTACCCGGATCCACTAGTCAGAGTTCGCGTGTTGCCCAAGTGGTATTTGGGCAGAAGGGCTGGCCTTGGTCGCCACGTTAATTTTCCTTGGGAGCCCGGGCAGAGAAGAGAGAGCGGCATGGCGTCACTGAACAGCTTGGCTTCAGTTCGGGGTCAACCGGGCAAGTCTCAACTCACAACAGCAGGTCGCATGCTTGTTGTTTCATATCTCCGACTCGGCTCATTCTTTGCTTGCCTCAGCTCCCCTTTGCCGATGTTTCTTGCAATAAATGAAGTGCTGTATTCTTGCAACGGACATAATCATACTCATTGGGGCAACTCAGAGTCTACAAGGAATCTGCACCATGCATCAACAAAGGGAACAGGCCTTGCTGCGGTTCTCCCGGCCTGATTGTTTGGGTTGGCCAGCAACCCCTTTGAACATGTTGTATAAACCCACCAAAGTGTCAATATTCTCGTGTATGCACCCTTTGAAGCGGGCCATGGTCTAGTCGTTTAAATACCCTTCATGCGCAGCTCAGAGCTCCGGTACTCGTGGATTGCCCCCCAGTTGGTACCTGCCGAAGAGGTTGCCCTTCTGGCAGAGCGGCCTTAGGCTTTGCGCGCAAGGAAACTGCAGTTGCACCAGCGGTACCGTCGGTTGAACTCTTGGCCTGTCAAATGACGGCCATGCTCTCCGAAGCTAGCGGACGAACCTCTCCCTTGCGTGCCCGCTGGATCTCGTAACTTCAAACGAAGATAGTTTTGCAGGCATCCGCGCAAAAACGCGCTCGATGACCAATGCGAGACACAAAATGGGGTGCCAACGACCTGTGTTTGCCAAGCTATTCCACAAAAACCCGAAAACTATTTGGCCCCAAGCTGAGTTACCTGGACTTTCCCCACAGGGAGGTCGGTGTTTTTGTTTTGTTTGGGGGGCGCAAATGGCATTAGGCATCCGCTTCAAGTGATCCCCCTTTCCAGCTTTGTTCTTTTGCACAAGGGCTTGCTTTGTCTTTCGGAGGCGCAGGAAAGGCCTTTCTTTGTTGCGTTTGGGAGGAGAAAACTCTCTTGGGCTTTGAAGAAGCACACATATGCTACTGGTGCTTGGCACAAGCATTTTAAGCCCTGCCCAATGGACTGAAGCGGTGTGGCCATGGTATTGGTGCGGTATTCAGGTTTTGAAGCACAGTATCTAAGAAGGATGAATGGTGCGTCCCTTTGCGGTGTGTTGTTCTTGGTGAGCAAAAAGCGCCCACCTCCGTGCCACACCCCTTGAATCCACCTGGCAGCGGACATAAAATGCTTGTGCCAGGCATCAGTAGCACATGTGTGCGCGTGTGCTTCTGCGAAGTCCAAAAAGAGAATTTGCTCCTCCCAAGCGCTACAGAGAAAGAGCTGCCTTACCCGTCCGAATGCCAATTCAAAGCCTTTTGTAAACACGTACGATTAGCATGTTGTACACTAGTGTATATCTAGCATGTCAAGAACACAATTCTTGAGTTGGTGACTGTTCGTGCAACAATGCTTTCATTGAACCACGGGAGCAGTCAAAGTTTCCTCTATTAAAAAGAAAGGACAATTAGTGAGTCCCATTGAGTTGTGCGCAATGTTTAGTGAAACCATAGACTACTGCGGTTGTCTAGTTGCTAATCCGATAACATGGGATATACCCAGTGTGAAACCCGAATCGCTAAGGTGCTATCCCCGCAGCAGCACAAACCAAAGCAAATCTTCTACAAATGAACACGTAAAATGTACACGTGTGTCTCTGCGCAGATATGGCTCCATAGTTCTCCCTTTCTATATCGGTGTGAATATCTTTGCTGATTAGAATTCCAAGGAGTATTTCCCACTTGGAGAAACATCAGCATGCAAGAGGCAAGCCATCCCGCGCTGGCAACCTCCAAAGCCCGGCCGCTTTGTTTTTGCTCCGATCTCTGGCGCTTGCTTTCCGGGCCTGCGGCGCAGTGCCCCATGTGGCTTTGCCGGGTTTTCACAGCGTGCATACTATAGCTGTGAATTTTCATTGGGAGCCCCCTCCAAAGTGGTTAGACATGGATCCCCGCCTAAATGATGTCCACCAAAGGGTCCCGGAGAAGTGGCAGCCTGGCCATTCATGGGGCCCCAATCAGGGAACAGGTCGTGCCTGCTGATTCAGGATCCGACGATTGCAATGCTAGGGCATGAGGTGGACGACGTTGTGGAAGCATGTTTGTTGAGGATACGCTTTTCCCCTTGGTCGAAAGCGCCGCTACAGGGAAGAGCCGGCCATTTTGCAGTCCCCCTATTTTTACACGTGCCCTTATGTGTTGCCATTGCGCTTGGAACGTCTAGGTGTGTGCGATCTGGCGCAATCAACTTTGCTTTCACCCTGTGCCTCTTGATTCGGGCTGATGGTTTGACATGCACGAGTGTTAGAATCAGGGCCCCCTCCAAATGGACTGTTTATTGTTGGCCTATCACCTAAAAGTCCTCCGTTTTAGCACCTGCCATTCTTGCGTCAGCGCCAATCCATTGAGAAGCCTGGTACAAAAGACTGAGTAGAGGCACAATGGGTTCATGGCCAGCTGTCAGAAGCAAACCCATGATGCTATCCAAGGAATGTACCAAAGAGAAGCGTTTACTTCGCTGAAACAAACATAATGAACCTCATGATCCTTCCTAATTTAACCTATTGGGGTCCATGTTATTCTGTGGGGACAGAATAATTAGCTTTTCGTTCGAAATTCGAGTACACCTGGCACACCTCAGCCCGTCCTGAGTCAGCCGTGTCAGCTGCGCCGCTGTGCGTGGGCCGGGCTGCGCGGAGGTGGAAGAGGCGAAGACTTGCTGGCACGAAGGAGAGATAACCTCAGAGATGCGGACTGAAACGTAGCGGAGAGCATGGAACCCACAAAGGGGAACCGATTCGCAAAAGGAGGCTCCTGTTTAATGATGGTTTCTTGGGTTCCATGATTTTTAGGGAAGTAGGCAGGCAGGCAAGCAGGCAGGCAAGCAGGCAGGCAACCGAGCAAAGCAAAGCAATGCAAACAAACAGCAATGCAAAACACACATAGAAAAGAAAGAAAGAAAGAAAGAAAGAAAGAAAGAAAAAAGGAAAGAAAGAAAGGAAGGAAGGAAGAAAGAAAGAAAGAAAGAAAGGAAGGAAGAAAGAAAGAAAGAAAGAAAGGAAGGAAGGAAGAAAGAAAGAAAGAAAGAAAGAAAGAAAGAAAGAAAGAAAGGAAGGAAGGAAGGAAGGAAGAAAGAAAGAAAGAAACGGAAGGAAAGAGAGAAAGAAAGAAAGAAAGAAGAAAAAGAACAGGCAGGCAGGCAAGCAAGGAAGCAAGCAATCAAGCGATCAAAGAAGCAAGCAAGCAAAGAAGCAAGCCAAGAAGAAACATAAAGAGAGAGAGGGAGAGAAGGAAAGAAAAATGAAAGAAATAATGAAAGAATGAAAGACAGACAGAAAGAAAGAACGAAAGAAAGAAAAGAAAGAAAGAAAGAAAGAGAGAGAAAAGGAAAGACAGAGAGAAGGAAGGAAGGAAGGAAGGAAGGAAGGAAGGAAGGAAGGAAGGAAGGAAGGAAGGAAGGAAGGAAGGAAGGAAGGAAGGAAGGAAGGAAGGAAGGAAGGAAAGAAAGAAAGAAAGAAAGAAAGAAAGAAAGAAAGAACGAAAGAAAGAAAGAAAGAAAGAAAGAAAGAAAGCAGGCCAGCAAAATAGGTTACCTTTGTTTCAATCTTCCCGACCTTTAAATACCCCGGCCCTGTCACCAATTGCGCCCAGCGCACCTTCTGCGATGCAGGGCAGCTGTTGTCTCACCTCCACCTCGAAGCCATGGCTTTGCCTGAGGCACAGGTACCAAGGGACCAGGGCCTCGTGCCGAACATTGAAGAAAGCCCCAGCGATTAAAAAATCAAGCTGTGGCTGGTGTGTCTTGGCTGGTTGGCGCACACAAGTCCTGACAAGAGAGGAAGCCGAGGATTTGTGAGCGTTCGGAGCAACATTCTGTGCTCCTTTGAAGCTTGTTTACGAGCACACCATTGATTAAACATTGTCAGAGAGGAAGAACGAGACCATTGCTCATAGATCAGCTGCGTGCACGACAAAACAGAGTTGGCAATTCAACTGCCTGGGGGGGTACAAAGCCGGTATGCTTTAACAAGCCTGATTGCGCTGATAGTGGTTTGCCATTCTTTGCCATGCGCGCAGATATGTCACGCATACTGAATTGCTGAGGCCACGCTAGACCTCGAACAAGGCTTGACCCACCGAAACCCAGAATCTCACTCGAAGAGCATCACCTGAATAAAAACTGCTTGGATACGGGGGTCAGCCACGATACCGCCAATGTACCCAATTCGCGATAGATGCAGTTACAGTCTCAGCGCAGGCTGAAACAACTCACCGATAGGCTTGGCACAAAATTGGTGAGGGACCCTGCGGGGTTGAACATGTTTCCATTGACTAATCGGGGTTGAGGTGTTGATTTGTTCTTGCCTATAGCTGCACATATGGGTTCGATCGCAAAAACGCCGGTCATTGCCCTATGTTTTGATGCAAAGAGGCAGGAGCGCGAGGATGCGCTCGAGGCGACCGTCGATGTCGTGCACTTCAGCTACCACCTGTCAGCCGCCACAAAGAGCTGAATGCCTATGCCGTCGCCTATGTCACGGTACGATCCTAGTTTCTCTTGCAGCAAGTTGTCTGGATGCCACATGTCTAGCTTTTCTGTCACTATCCACGGCCCAGAATGGTATCATTCAAAACTTGCTGATTCTCCAAGGTCGAAACCTTACAAGACTGTACATCCCCCAATGTCCCCAACAATGCAATGAACAAATGCCTCATTCGTTCATCTCCCGCATCTGATTTCCTTGCTTCGCCTGGCGGATGCGTGGCCAGTCCTCTGCGTCAATGCCCTGCAGCACTGCCTCCTCAAGGCGTGACTTTGCTAAAACACGCTGAGCAAATCTCGGGCCAGAGTTGTGGCTCCCATTGGTTTCTGCCACACCCGCATGAAAAGCATGTGTGCAAGCGGATCATGGGCGGTCCCGAACATAGGCGACCCAATCATGGCGCCCCGTGCGAATTCGCTCGGCCGACATGGCAAGCAGACCAACCCGAACAGCTAGTAAAACGCGATAGAGCAAACAAACATGGCCTCGTTGTGGCCATACCAAGGACTTAGTAGCATGATCCAACTCAATGTGTATGACCTAAAGTGATTCAACAGTACACATCATTGGCTATACAACACATCGTGGTTATCTGAAATGACATCCTAATGGGCAACATTGAAACACAACAAATTGGAATCAAGCATGATCAGTGCATTCCAAAACATGCTGGAGCATTCTTCAAGCGCTCAGCACGGGCCATAGGATACCAAGACATGCACGGGAAGTGTACTTTTCCTTCTGCATCCCTTTTACAGATTTTGAATCATCGTGTTCTTGCATTCGCGCTGCAGGCCTTCAGAGTGGTCTGGATCGTGATGTCCCAAAGGCCACCCTTGTTATTTCGTGTACGTGATTAATGATTAACCAAGGGTATCGAATACGAAGAAAGAATTACGAAAACAATATACACTACCCCCCCCCCCCCAAAAAAAAAGAAAGAAAACACACACA